GGGGGCGTGTTCGATATTTTTGGTTAAACCATCTGGCAACCCTACCAGCAATAACCATTGCCTCCAACTGAAATCATTTAAAGAAAAATAGACAGATTTAACTCACCTTTGAAACATCAGCTTTAGCTTTAGATTTTGTCATTCACTTTTTCGATAGAAGATATTCAAATAAATCCCCCCTTTCATTTTGATACGTTACTGTAAAGTGCATCTTTCAAATCACTGTGCTGGTACTTTATTTAAATAAAAATATGGATCCATTTTCAAAATCTCAGTGTGGCCTCTGAAATTGCAGATGGAACTTTGAGCAATTTTTGATTACCCTATTTTTGGAAGCACAAAACCTCAGATTGAATACACAAATTATCTTTGAATACCCTAGGGCAAATATAGATAACTAAACCATGCCAAAATGTAACGATGAAAATGAAGTTGTACTTAAAACTGTGCCTTCAATTTTTGAAACCAAGACTCTTATTCATCATGCTTTTAGAGAAATTTGAATAGCATTTGTAAAGATGATGTACAGTAAGCATAGGCAACGATTCAGTCTAACACGGCTACCCCTCTGATAGTAAGCATAGGGTTTGCCTTTCTATGAAAATGTAATTTCATGGTAACGTTGCTTGTAAACAGTTACAGCATATACCATTTATTATGGTTTTGATTTAACAAAGCATTTAAGCGTGTGCTTATGTCCTATTAACTTTAAGCTTTTGCTTAATTCTTTGTTGAAGGAGAATGAACTGCAATGTATGTTTTCTGTTTGTTTTCCTAACAACATAAAATTGGTATTTTCTTTGAATGTATGACTTAATTTTGAAAAGCTAAAAAACAAAATACAAAAATAGTACAAACAACCATGGTTCCTGGATAAAAGCTGAAAGCGAGCAAAAGGTGTAGAATTTCAAACCATCATATTCCTGAATAATGTAATTGTAATTATATCTCAAAACCATAAGGTGGTGCTGTAAGCATGCTAAATAATATAGTGTAAGGTAATCTTGCACTATGAAAAAAGTTATAGAAGCTACAAGAGATTAATGTGTTGGTTGAATAAGCTGAATTAAATATAAATAAGCATTAAGACATTTATTAATGTCCTGATTGCGTAAGGTGTTCTGGACATTATTAGCAGGATGGTGATTAAAAGAGGCTGTTTACATGGAAATACTTGTATTTTACAACATTGAAAAATATAAAAGTTTTAAAATCTGAATTAAAAGCTGGCTGAAATTAGTGTTTCGATACTGCAGAATGCCTGATTGATATGAATTTGATATATTAGTTGGAACATGATTTTGGCCATGTTTAAATATACTGATAGTGTGGTGACCTTCACTACTGTAAATCATAACTTCAGTGGAAGCCAATGGAGTGAGATCAGAATCTGTCTCATAATAAAGTAAAATATTTCTTGTTATAAGTTCAGAAAGGTGATTGTTTCAGGCATATTTAAGAGTCATAAGAAATATATAATTTTGTCAATGGGGTTATCCATATTGTGAAAGTGAGCAATGTTTTAAAATGTTTCAGCTAATAAGTCTTAATGCACGTTGTATTATATACCATTTAGCACATATAGTAGGCGGCTAGAGGTGTTTATAAATGTGTTAGGTGGTTGCAGTCAATTCTAAGGTCTAAACAGGGCCAAACAGAAACTGAAATACTATCACGGTTGAAATACTGGAAAACAATGATGGTGATTCTCCCCTGCCTTGCTGACAGTCCTACACTGGTGTGACTCCTCCGACGTCACTAGAGTTAATACCTATTTACACCATCACAGGTGAGAACAGAATAAGGCCCTCAGCTGAATGGCACATGTTATATTTATCACACCGCTTGAAAGTTTGCTCAACTGTAAATCTGATATACCAGTAAAACAAACCTAATTAACACATTTTAGCTAAAATGTTTTCAAACACTGCTAAATTTTACAGCCTCACAAGCCCCTGAACAAGTTCCTATCAATATTTTAACTATTGTTTTAGAATTCCCCTACAAATTAATGTAACTATGAAATTATAGTTCAGTGGCAAAATTGTGCTCCTATTCTGATTGATTTCAAAACTGGTTTCTCTCTTGCATATTCTGTTCATTCCAAATTATTTTTATAATTAGTTCCTGTACGTTCACAATATCAGGGAATTGAAAGATGAATTAACTTATTGTGTAAAAGTATAGAAATTTTCATCTTGAGCCTTCACACGTTTGATCATATTTTTCTGGGTGTATCTCCAGGTCCCTGAGTTAAATCACATTTGAGTTTCTTCTGTATGCCACAGAGGTGGATGCATTTTTGTGTTGTAGGGGAAACAGATATAATGCTAAGAAAGAAGTTTACTTGAATTTCAAAAACAGAAGTCTGCAAAAGAAGTAGCAGTTGGAATCTCTGTATTCATCCAGAGGATTAAATGGAAAGTCATAGTTCAACCTTCCCTGGAGGAGCTCTATAGCTGCGCTGAGAATAGCTCTCTGTGACATCATTGGACAGTGCAGCAGCTTCTGAAACTCTTTAAAATACAATAAAAAAGGAAAATAAACCAGAAAGTCTCCCTCTAGTTTCTTCTGTTTTCTCAAAGCCATATTCCTTTAAGATGATGTAATAGTCATTTCCCTGGATGGTTTCTTCCCTGCACTGCTGAAACAACAGCATCTGAACTGCACTGGGAACTGTGGAACCACCCAGCTCAGCAGCCAGAGCAGTAGCTCAGGCAGCAAGAGCAGACGAAGCAGCTACCCTGGGCATCCTTTCAAACTGCTGCAGGCTTATCTTCTCTGACCCTTACTGGGAACATGGGAGCTTCTTTGCCCTTCCTGCCAGGCAGGATACCACTTCGGGAGCTCACTGAAATGTATCAGTTCTTTTCTCAGATTCTGGGGTTTCTGCGAGTCATCTAAACCAAGGTCCTCTTTTCTGAAACTCTTTTAAGGATCCTGATTGGGATTTATTTTGTTTGATTTTTTTCCCCATCTCAGATATTGCTATAAATATTGGTTTTTCATCGTTACACATCACGGTTAACTTTCCTTTGACTCAGTTTAACTCTTGAGATCTATATGGACGGCTGTTCATAAGAGCACTTTTCTTACCTTTTCTGTCCTTTTCTGGGGTTGGATTTGATATTAATTGGACTCTGTGCCTGTGTGTGTTCTGATTGCTCAGAACATTTTCTTTCCTTCGCAAGAACTATGCATTAACTGTAACCAAGGTAAGACTTGATGCTCTCTTTCTCTCATCTGTAAAGGCTCTAAATTAGACACTTGTTTAAAGTTGAAGTATTTATTTTCTTGTTATTTTCAATGTTGTCAAATGTATCCCCTCCACCAAACACACTAATTATTGTTTGGGGAGAAAAAAACTTGCCAAAATATTAATTTAAAAAAGATCTTGATTTTTCTCTCTGGAAATCAGTACTAGAGGGTGCTATGTGAACTGACCTCATTCCCTCTATTTTAACTTTTATGATATTTGGGGAAATAATTATGTTATTTTGTTTTCCCCCTTCAACAGACCTGTGAATATCGTAGGCTTGGCTTGATCTTGATTTTTGGGACTTTATTGGAAGATCTGATTGCATTTCGTGAAGTTACTGCTCTCCATCCATTGTTTAGGTTTTAAGCTGCTTTGCTAGCTTTTGTGACACAGTCACATCTGGACAATTCTGATTTTTTAATAAACTAACTTTTTGCCCTCCCTTTCTTAAATATTATGAGCCCTTTTGGGGGTCTGGTAGAGGAGCCTCATTCTATTCTGATGTGATTGATAGTCCTGCCATTTCTTGTGGCAGATTTTTGTTTTAAAATACAATGGCTCTGAGTGGAAATTGCAGGACTTACCTCCCTCCTAGAGAACAAGGGGCTGGTCTACACTCCTTTCCAGAGGTGGTGGAGCTAAACGTGGGTGGTCAAGTATACTTCACTCGCCATTCCACCTTGGTGGGCATCCCACACTCCTTGCTGTGGAAAATGTTCACCCCGAAGAGAGACACAGCCAATGATTTAGCTAAGGACGCCAAGGGAAGGTTCTTCATTGATAGAGATGGTTTCCTCTTCCGCTACATTCTGGACTATCTCAGGGACAAGCAAGTGGTTCTACCTGATCACTTTCCAGAAAAGGGAAGGCTCAAAAGGGAAGCTGAATATTTTCAGCTCCCAGACTTGGTCAAACTCCTAACTCCTGATGATGTCAAGCAAAGCCCCGATGACTATTGCCACAGCGACTACGAGGAGGTCTCCCAAGGCAGTGACACAAGAATATGCCCCCCATCATCGCTCTTACCTTCAGACCGAAAATGGGGTTTCATTACCATTGGGTACAGGGGTTCATGCACCATGGGCAGAGAGAGCCAAGCTGATGCCAAGTTCAGGAGAGTCCCGAGGATTTTGGTTTGTGGAAGGATTGCTCTAGTCAAAGAGGTCTTTGGAGAAAGTTTGAATGAGAGTAGAGACCCAGATAGGGCACCAGAAAGATACACCTCTAGGTTCTATCTCAAGTTCAAGCACCTGGAGAGGGCTTTTGACATGTTGTCAGAATGTGGATTCCACATGGTGGCCTGCAATTCCTCAGTGACGGCTTCTTTTGTCAATCAGTACACAGAAGATAAAGTCTGGTCCAGCTACACTGAATATGTCTTCTACCGTAAGTACAAGAGATTTGTAGAGAAAAAAATAATTATCTGGTCAAAGCCTGTTTCATTTGGTGTGCATTTCATTTTCAGAGAACTAGCAGGCTTGATTTCTTTGTTTCTGCAGCTCACTGAAGTTTTGTTCTGATACAGTAAAATCCAAGGAGACTTGCTTGCATTTCAGCTTTTAAAATGTAAATGAATACTTATCTCAATGGTGTGGTCTTGGCTAGGTGGCAGCACAGACTACTAAAAGCACCTTTTCTCCCCACAATCGAAAGGTATTGCTATCAGAGCCTTTGTACATCAGCCATTTGACTGCCTTTCACATTTCCTGAGTGCTCTCTCAGTGTAATGTAGCAAGTGTTGCAAACACACTGTAGATTTAATTACAAAAAAATTTAAAATGAGATTCAAAATACAAAGGTAATAGATGGTGTGGGGGTCCTTTCCCGCCCCCCTTCTTTCTTCCTTGTCTTTTCTTCCCTTTCAGCTCGCTAGCTGCTGAATGGCCGCTGCCTCTAAAGTTTATTTTGCTGGGCGTGCGGTGTGGGGAGTCTGGGCCCACCCTCACTCCCAGACCCCAGCCCAGGGCCCTAAGGACAGAGTCTCCTGGACCTGTCCCACCGGAGGGGGTATGTCCTTTTAACCCACCGGTGCACCGGCTCCGTCCCCTGCCCTGGGCTGCTTCCACCTCGCCTCCTTCGCGCCTCTCCTACAACTGTCTTCTCCGTTTCCTTCTCCCCTCCCTCTCTCCCTTCTCCTGCCTCTCTCCCCCCTTCCTGGCACTTCCCTCGGGGCTTTTATCCCCCTCCCCCTTCCCTTCCCCCTGGGCTTCTGACGTCACTTCCGCCCCTGCCGTCACTTCCGGCCGCCATTACCCTGCGGCCGTGCGCCCCGCGTTGCTCAGCAACGGTTGCTGGCCCGCCGCTCAGCTGACGCGCGGCGGCACTACACAGCCCGCACGTGAGCAACTCCCGTTGTGTTGCCCCCACTAGCGAGAGGGCAATCGCGGGGTCAGTACGGGGTGGGCCCGTTTCGATGGGGTAGGCGGGCCTCACCCCGTCACAGATGGTAATAGATGTTTGATAATAAGCACAGTCAGCCTAGCCATCTGTCCAGAAGGCTGCTGCCCTCCGGAAAAGATGTGTTGCGCTGGCTCCTTTTTAACTGGGTTGTTTTTCAGAACTTATGTTCTTTTAAATTAGGGTTCAGCGGACAGACAGGCAGGTGGCTACATGCTGCTATGAAACACCATATGAAAAGCAGACCCTTCTTAACTAACAGAATTCGCAAGCTGGGGTGGGTAGCTCTGGGACTCAAGGAGGGGAAGCGGAGTTTTGGACAGAAGGGGTGGGGCTGGAGGCCAGCCTCCTCCAGCCAGCCCTTCAGTGCTGCCCAGTGCTCCAATGGTAATTTAAAGGGCCCAGGACTCCCAGCTACTGCCATTGTTGCTGCAGTGGCAGCCGGGGGCAGGAGCCCCCCCCAAAA